TTTAAAGATTTTATTTATTTGAGAGAGAGAGACAAAGAGAGCAGAGGCAGGGACAGAGGGAGAGGGAGAAGCAGACTCCCCGCTGAGCAGGGAGCCCGACGTGGGGCTCGATCCCAGGACCCTGAGATCATGACCTGAGCTGAAGGCAGACGCTTAACCGACTGAGCCACCCAGGCGCCCCAACCTTCATGTCATTTTAGATTTTCTAGTAACTATGTTTAAAAAAAAGTAAATTAATTTTAACAATGTATTTAGTTAATTCAATACAAAATTATAATCATTTCAAAAATAGTGTAAAAAAATCAATATTTTACTTTTTTTTTTTCCCTCCAAACGAAGTCTTTGAAATCTGTTGCACACTCGAATAGGTAGGTGCAGCATGTTTCAGTTCAGACCAGCCCCTCATAGCCACATGGGGCTCATAGCTGTTGCGTCGGACAGCATGGCTCTCGGTTCTTACACTGCACTCTAGACCACCACTGCCCAACTCGGAGATGGAGCTCAAGTTAAAACTCGTGTCCACCACAAGCCACTGCTCCGACTGTCCTTTACCTGTTTTCAGGCTCAGGCCTTATCTCTGGGATTAGAAGGCCCTGGGAGGGGGGAATATATTCTTGGCACAGAGGTCATCCCCAGCCATGGGCAACTGGGCCCACTGCTTGAGGCAACACAGGGAAGTAATTAATGGCTCAGGCTTTGGAGTAGTACAGATCAGAGTTCAAATCCCAGCTCTTTTGTTTCCTAGCTCTACCACCTAGGGAGATTAACCTTACCTCTCTGAGCCTCAGTTTTCTTATCTGTAAAATGGAGACCACAATATTATTTGCATCCTCTAGTCATTGTGAAGATTCACAGTTAATACAAATTGCCAGGTACAAAGTAAGTGCACAGTATGCGATATTAATAGAAAGAAGGTAGGAGCCTTCCCTTTGTGTACAGGGGGTGCATGGTCTCCTTTGAAGAAGACCCAGATGTGTTTTTGGAGGGACAGAGCTGGCACAGGAGCCTGCTGACACCCAGATCCTGTCTCTTGCAGAGCCACCCCTCAGTGACGATCTACAACCTTCTTCAGCTGTGTCGAGCCCCACTCAGCCGGGTCCCGTCTTGTACATGCCATCTGCTGCCGGAGACTCGGTGCCTGTGAGCCCCTCCAGCCCACATGCCCCTGACCTCAGCGCTGTACGTGCCTGTCCAGGGAGTGGGTGGGCACCATGCCTAGCCAGGAGTCAACACCTGCCTCTAATGCCCCCAGTTCCCTCCCAGCCTGTGCTTGGTGGGCCCTGGTATTTTGCCTCAGGCCAAGGGGGTTCTACTCTTTCTGCCCCAGGGTTTTTCTTTCAAAATCTGGTAGAGGGTGGTGTACCCAGAGCCTGTGTGGGTCAGCCTGAATAGAGCTGGTAGAAGGGACACAAGCCTTCTGTCACACTCCCACATAATTTCCTCCTGAGGTTCGGGGTCCCTGCATGGTAGTTGCTGCCCACTGGCAGATGAAAACAGAACTGAGCCCCTTGCTGAGGAATCTCCCTCTGAGGAGGGGGTGGAGGGTGGGCCACGCCCCAACCCACGTTGTGCCCACAAAGCCGCTCCCTTTCTTCTCTGCAGCTCCTCTGTAGAAACAGCAATCTAGGAAGCCCATCTAATCTCTGTGGCTCCCCCCCGGGCTCCATCAGGAAGCCCCCGAACCTGGAAGGCATTGTCTTCCCTGGGGAGTCTGGCCTCGCCCCTGGCAGCTATAAGAAGGCTCCTGGCTTTGAGAGGGAAGACCAGGTGGGAGCTGAGTACCTGAAAAATTTTAAATGCCAGGTAAGGGATGTAAGGGGAAGCCCAGTGAGGTTAGCTTTCTCCCTGCATGGGTCAGGAGAAGCCCTGGAGGGCTGTCTTGGCCCAACTATGGGGAACATGACTGGGAGCTAGGAGGTCCCTGTCTTCAGCCTCTGCAACACTAAGCAGAGGGAGTGAGGCCGTCCCGTTTTACAAGCGAAGACAGGAAGGTTAGCATAGCCAGGTACCTGTCACGGAGCCAGTTAATAGAAGAGCAGGGACTCCTATCTCGGTCTTCTGACCCCATAGCTGGTCTTTCCCCTGCCCTATGCTGCCTTGACGGAGTGGCAGGGCCTTGGGGAGCAGGACAGAGGGTCTCTAATTGGTCTTACCTGAGGCTTGGAGTCACCAGGGAGAAGAGGAACAGCTCCCCTGGTTCCTACGGTAGGGAAAGGAGTAAGGGTGGGGAGGGAGAGCAGGGTACGTGGTGTAGAGGGGAATTGCGTGACAGGTGCCGTCAGCCTTAGTGGGCCATGGCAGGTTGATGCTTGGGAGGACTCCTGGACTCAGGGGCCCTCCCTAGGACCACACTCATCTCCTGTTCTCTGACTTTTCTCTCTCAGGCCAAGTTAAAACCCCACTCACTAGAGCCCAGGAGTCAAGAGCAGCCTCTGCTTCAGCCCAAACAGGTATATAGCTCTCAGCCCCGTGTCTCCCCTTCTGGCACTTGCTATTGATAGGACAGGCCCAGAATCCCTGGCCTCAGGGAGTGGGGCCACTGCTTTCCCCACAAGCTGAGGGCAGGGCTAAAGTGGGGCCCTAGCCCCAAATCCAGAGAGGGTGGGGTCAAGCCCTGGAACCTGTCACCTCCTGGACTCACTCATCAGTCAAAAACAATATTTCTTGAACGTCGTACTATGCTAGGCACTGGACTGACTTCTCCCTTCCCCTACTGTAGGACTTGTACACTTAGGGTGAGTGGGCCCTGCAGCCTGCAAGGCACAGCTCTCCAATTCCAGCCTCTCAACAAGGTGTCGAGTGGGTGGGGTCCTGTCTGGGCATGGGGGCATCCGGATGAGAGCTGGAACGCACCATTTCCTTCTGCCCCTCCCAGCCCCCATCTCTAGCCCCTGGCCATGGCCTCCATGAGCGGGCATCCCATTGCTTCCTCCTCACTCTTTCGTTGCAGGACATGCTGGGCATCCTTCCCGTGGGCAGCCCCCTGACCTCAAGCATCTCTTCTAGTATCACCTCCAGCCTGGCAGCTACTCCCCCTAGCCCTGCAGGCACCAGCAGCGTCCCTGGCATGAATGCAAATGCTCTGCCCTTCTATCCCACCAGCGACACGGTAGAGTCAGTCATAGGTAACTAGGCCATTTCTGTTGCCAAGTCCAGGACTGGATCTGGAGTTAGAGAAACTAGGTCTCTGGAGTGAGATTCAAACCAGCGTACTTGTCACTTTAGACATTTATCTTGGGAGAGTTAGAGGGTGGGCACTCTGAGCCCTTTGAAAAGGGAAAATGAGCCCAAGGTGTGGCCCAAGACTAGACCTTATAGGAAAGTAGCCCTTCAGTTTGCACTGTTGTGCAAATTAGAAAGAGATAACTCTTCCTCTGGACAAGTGCAGTCTCATTCCACGACGTAGGTCATTCAGCCCTCACTCATTCTCTCACTAGGTATCGTTGTGTAGTGAACAACCTGCGCAACTGTCCTCAGAGTTCCTGGCCATTTGAAGCCACTGCCCTTCTCTCTCAGCAGTCATTTATGGGTGCTACTTCGTGCCAGATCGTGTTTTAAGCACTGGGATGTTAAGGGATGCAGACAGGGTGTTCCTGTTGTTCCCAGCCTCCCAGTCTAGTCCAGCAGAGGGCAGGGGATATTTGTCAAGCACCTACTCTGCAGTAGCCACTGAGGGCCCAGAGGCTTGCTTGCCCCCAGAGAACGCAGGGATGAGACATTTGAGCTGTAACAGCCGAGACAAGACCTCTGTCAGAGTCAGGAACCCTGCATTGGGTCCCCTGGAGGTATCAGTGAAGATTTCAGAAAAGCTGCCATCTGAGCCGGACTTGGCGAGGCAGATAGCTCAGGGCATCCGTGTTGGCAGAGCAGCAGCCCGACAGGCAGAGGCTCGAGAGCATGGGTCTAGTGGGACTGAGCGTGAAGAGGAGGCAGTAGAGGGCAGGTGGGTCCTGGAGGCAAGGCCTGGAACCTCAGGGTGGTGTGGCCTCTCAGGAGGCAAGGAGGCTCACACCCCATTCTGTCTGTCTCCAGAGTCTGCCTTGGATGACCTGGACCTGAACGAGTTTGGGGTGGCCGCCCTAGAGAAGACTTTCGATAACAGCACAGTGCCCCACCCAGGCAGCATCACAATTGGTACTGGGCAGCGGGTGGGCAGCGGGCGGGCAGCGCTCGAGGGAGGGCTCTCGTAGGGGTCCAGCCTGGCCCAAGATGGGCAGATGAGCTGCCCCCTGCTGGTGTGGCTCCGCATCGCTTGCCCTGCCCTTACTTGCCCTCCGGGGCCTCTCTTCCAGGTGGCAGTTTGCTGCAGAGTTCTGCACCCGTGAACATCCCTGGCTCCTTGGGCAGTTCTGCTTCCTTCCACTCAGCATCCCCGTCCCCTCCTGTCAGCCTCTCCTCACATTTCCTGCAGCAGCCCCAGGGCCACCTGAGCCAGTCAGAAAACACATTTTTGGGGACCTCAGCATCACATGGATCTTTGGGTAAGAGAGTGTGTGTGTCTCTGAGACCTGGGACAGGATCTGGGCTTTTGGAAAGTGCTTTGTCCACAGCCAGAGGCAATGCAGAATGAGGTTGAAGCAAGTGGCTTATGGCTTGGAGGTGGGTCAGGTCCCTGTCCCATGTTTCCCTTAGCTGGGTAAAACTAGACAAGCAACTTAGCCTCTCTTAGTTTCCTCGCTTTAAAATTTGTATAATGGCAGCATCCTCCTTCTAAGACGGTGGCGAGGCTTAAATGAAATAACATGAGTGGAGTGCTGGGCACAGGGCCGGTGTGCAGTGAGAAGCAGTGGCCTCAAGTGCCAGGGCCTAGGTGCTGTTCCTGCCAGTGTGCTGGTTCTGCCCAGTCGCCCAGAGTGCTCGGAGGCGGGCTCACAACAGCCAGCTTCACCGGAGGCAAAGGGAAAAATCTGAATAGGCTCAAAGTGGCCTTCCTGGTAAACAGAGGCACCAGGCAGACCTAGCTGTAACCCCAAAGGCTATTTGCTGAACACAAGTGTTAGAATGGTATGGACTGTGCCTTCTGGCGGGCACGTCAATCACAGCCATTGGAAGCAGGGTGTGGAGAGCCGCACGCTCCACCACCGCGGGCAGGGTTCCCTCTCGTGGGCGGGCTGGTGTGAGTGTTCGCTGAGGTAACACGTAAAACAGCTCGGTACCCAAACTGCCGCGTCTGCTCTTAGTTCCCCTCCCCCGGCAGCTGTTGGAGGAGATAAGGAATAACCTCCGCTGAGGGTGCTGGGCTTCCTGGTCACACTGAGCCTGAGCCTCTGAGCCACGTTTGACATTCTGACCAGGCTGGGAGCTCCCTAATCTCACTCCAGAGATCAGGGCAGCGCGTTGATTTCTTAGTATCTTTCCAGCTTTGGAGGTGGCTGTTACATTTCATGTTGAGTCTGTCAGGTTTAGATGCTTTGTGTTACATTTGTCTGACTTGCTCGTATTCTGGAAGCATCTTGATTGTAGCCCTTCTCACTGGCTGCACATTCATTCACTCCTTCTCCATGTAGTTACTGAGCAGAGTTATAGGTACACTGTGAGCTCAACAGTCCCTGCTGGTATGGAGCCATGGTCTAGTCGGGGAGGCAGAGGAGCACGGACATGAGAGCATACGTAGGACTGTCACTGTTGTGTGGAGGCAAAGGCCTGGGTTTGTGATTCAGAATAATAGAGGGGACCTGAGCGGGACGCAGTCGAGAGAGGAAGCGGCTCCTCTCCAAGAGAGGAAATGCTGCCTGAGCGTGAGCAGAGGTCCGTGGGAAGAGCTTGCTGCTGGGACGGTGTTGTGTTGGTTCTGAGTTCCCACCTCTGAGACAGGGCACATAGGCTCATAGGTTGTGCACATCTCAGGCTCTCCACACAGGATGATGTCTCTCATATTTTGGGTGCACTGGTATTGCTTGGAGGCTTCTGGAACATCCTGGCTGGATTAGTGGAGAAGAGAGTGAGAAAGAAATTATTAGAATAAGCGTGGGCAGAGTGAGGCCAGACGTGGGTATGGATCCCCCTCTAGAAGATAGGGGCTGCCCTGGGGGCCACAGAGGAGGGCACATGGTGTTAGTAAACATCTGGGGAAAGACTGAGCGAGTATGGTTGGAGGAGCATGCAGCGTAGCTTATTGGAAAGAGGAAGCCTTTGGAGTCAGATGCTCTGACTGTATATTGGCTCCAGTATTTACTGTTTGTGTGATTTTTTTTTTTTTTTTTTTTAAGATTTATTTATTCATGGGGCGCCTGGGTGGCTCTTCGGTTAAGCATCTGCCTTCGATTCAGGTCATGATCTCAGGGTCCTGGGATCAAGCCCTGCGTCAGGCTCCCTGCTCTGTGGGGAGTCTGCTTCTCCCTCTGCCCTTAAGCCCCGCTCATGCTCTCTCTCTCAAATAAATAAATTAAATCTGGGGGGGGGGGATTTATTTATTTATTTATTTGAGAGAGAGAAAGAGGGCATGGAGGAAAGGGCAGAGGGAGAGAGAATCTTAAGCAGACTCCCTGCTGAGTGCGGAGCCCCACATGGGGCTCGATCCCATGACCCTGAGATCATGAGCTGAGCCGATACCAAGAGTCAGACGCCCAAGCGACTGAGCCACCCAAACGCCCCTACTGTTTGTGTGATTCTTAGCAACGCATTGTATCTGTTTCCTTATCATAAAACAAGGGGAATGAAGCCAGGGCTCCCTGAACTCCTCCTGTTCTAGCTGTGCCATCATCTGAGGCTCTGGCCTGTGTTTTTGCCCCTCAGCCTCCTCCCAAGCCTTACAGAAGATGCAAGAAGGCTCTCCTCCCTCTAGCCTAAAAGTCAGTTCACAATCATAAATAGCCTCCTTTACAGACTGCTCTCCCTGCAGTACTTCCCAAGTCCTCCAAATCACCCTGTGAGGCAAATGATGGGATCCTCACTTCACAGATGAGGATGCTGAGCCTCAGAAGTTAAGTGCCAAATGTTGAGTAGCAGGTGGTGCTACAGTAGGTCTGATGCAACTGTGGGCCCTACACGTTCCTGTGAGTTTCCCCAGCCTGACATTGCTGAAGCCTTGCACAGCTAGCCCCTTGAAGCCTCCCAGAGAGGGGTGGACAGGACCAGGGCGTGGGCGCGGGCCTGAAGCCCTCCGGAGCTCTAATATTCTTCCCTTTCCCGAGGCAGGTCTGAACGGGATGAACAGCAGCATCTGGGAGCATTTTGCCTCTGGTAGCTTCTCCCCAGGCACTTCCCCTGCCTTCCTGTCAGGGCCAGGGGCCGCTGAGCTGGCCCGGCTGCGGCAAGAGCTTGAAGAAGCCAACGGCACCATCAAGCAGTGGGAGGAGTCCTGGAAGCAGGCTAAGCAGGTACTGGGCCCACACACCCACTCGCCTTCCCAGGGCCGGTTGCCATCCAGCCTGAGTCCATCTTACACAGAGCAGGCGCAGGGGTGGGAGGGCAGGGGTCCTGGAGGACAGAGCAGAAGCTCAGTTTTAGTCACTTTCTTCTGTGGAAACACTTGCCTTGCCAATCAGGACCTGGGGTGGCTGGTGCCCCAGGCCCGGAACTCCCACTGTGAGTTGCTTCTTTGGTTTGGTCGCACAGCGGTGCTGGCCTCTCCCCAGAAGTCCGGACTCTCCAGGGCTCCCGGTCCAGGGTTTTAGGTTTTGAGATGGTTCCTCTGTCCAGCCGCAGCCCGGCTGCTCCTGCAGGTGCTCGCCAGCAGCATGCCCAGCTCTGCCTGGTGCTCCCCTGCTGTGTTGGGCTCAGCCCCCTTCCCTGCCTAGAGAGGGTCTCTTGCAGGCCCTGACATCTCTCTCCTCTGCAGGCAGTGCCCGCCTCCTCCCTTCCCAGACAGCTGACCCAGCTCCCCAGCAGGCCCTGCAGCCACAAGTGGCCCATGCAGGCTCCCAGAGAGGTGCTTGCAGGGGACACGGGGGCAGGGGGCCATCATGATGAGGCGCTGTGTGTTGGGCCCACAGGCTTGTGATGCCTGGAAGAAGGAGGCAGAGGAGGCCGGTGAGCGGGCCAGTGCAGCGGGTGCTGAGTGCGAACTGGCCCGGGAGCAGCGGGATGCACTGGAGGGGCAGGTTAAGAAGCTACAGGAAGAACTGGAGCGGCTGCACTCGGGCCCCGACCTGCAGGCCCTGCCCACCTTCTCCGACCTGGAGGCCCTCTCGCTCTCCACCCTCTACTCCCTCCAGAAGCAGCTGCGGGCCCACCTGGAACAAGTGGACAAGGTCAGCCCAGGAGGTTAGGGGAGTGCTGGGTGGGGGCATACAGTAGCCTCAGCCAGTACTTGGACTCTGAGGGGTCCTTGCTGCTCCAGGGACAGCCACCTTCCTTCTGAGAGCCTCTGCCCAACTGGGCTGACACAGGATGCTGCCTGCAGGTGGGGAGGTAGGAGGAAATGTCACTCCTTGCGGAGGTGAGAAAGGTGGAGGTGGAGAGGTATCAGTGCTCATCCCCCACAGTTCGGGCAGGGCTGGCCCAAGCTACATCACTGGGCCTGGGCCTTCAGTGGCATCGAGATGCTTGTCCTCCTGTGAGCGCTGCACATACCAGCACACATTCCAGGAATGTTAGGTTAGGTCCCCAGAGCTGCTTTGCATTCCTAGGTGCCCGGCTGGATGCCCGGGGAGCATGGCACAGCAGAAAAGTACATTCTTTCTTTGGGCATTTGTAGCCAGGTCTCATGGTTCTCATCTGGGGACTCAGGGTCACTGCAGGATCAAGCGAGGCAGGGCCTTTGTGGGAGGAAGAGCCTGTCGGGCGGGAGCTGTGGAGCAGCCCTGGGCCTCCCCGCTCCCCGGTGGGCCGGAAGCAGACTTCGGGAGCCTTGAGGGCAGCAGCCTGAGCTCCAGCTCTGCTCTCCCACTTGGCGGCTGTGTCCTGTGGGCACGCCGCTGAGCTCTTTGCCTCAGCTTCCTTGTCCCGAGGGGACTGACGTGAATGTAGGGGGGCCGGGCCAGTGAACACGGTGTGCCTCTCCCTCCCCAGGCCGTGTTCCACATGCAGTCGGTGAAATGCCTTAAGTGTCAGGAGCAGAACCGAGCGGTGCTGCCATGCCAGCATGCCGTGCTGTGTGAGCTCTGCGCCGAGGGCAGCGAGTGCCCCGTCTGCCAGCCCAGCCGGGCCCACAGCCTCCAGTCGTGACCCTGCAGGCCTGGCCCCGGCCCGGCTCAGATCTTCTTTCCTAGGACTTTTTAAAGTATATATATATGTATGTATGTATGTATGTAGGTATGTATGTATATGTATATGATTCTGTATATGTATACATTTCTGTGCGTGTGCAGGTGTGCGTGGGCAGCAGTGTGTGAACAGTGTCTGTGTGTATATCTGTACATAGATATAGACACACACTTTAAAACAGACTTACCAAGCACTTTTTAAAAGAAAAAACTATTTTGCAGCCCTCCCCTTGCCCACTCTGTCCTTTTCCACTGCAGAGACAAAGTCCCCTCATTGCCCGCTGGCCTTTTGGCAGGGGACAGGTTTCTCTTTTTAACGTAGGAGAACTAACTAGTTTCAACTTCTTCCTGGGGCCCGAGCAGGAAGCTGGAAGGGGCCAAGGGGAGGGACCAAGCCTTCAGGGCAGGCCCTGTTCACTGCACCTCCCCAGGCCAGGGCCACAGCCAGGGGTGTGGACATCTGGGGGACAGACCTGGTTTCCAGCCATGAGGCTTGAGAGGGGGGGTGTGCTGGGGGTCTCAGCCAGCCTAGCTCCTAGGTTTTACCAAATGTGTATCTAGTCTGGGGCTGGCAGGCCAAAGCTGCAGGGGCCAGCCCCGCTCCCAACCCTGGGCCCTTGAAGCTCCTTGAGGGGCAAGGCCCGGGAGTTCTACCCCTCAGGTTCCTGAGGCCAGGGGTCCACCTCAGTCCTCTCCCTCCGGGCCCCCAGAGCAGCCTTCCTGGCCCCAGGACCACCTACCAGACTGGCACTGCCCTCTTCCTAACCCCCCAGCTGCTGTCAGCTTCCTCCCTCTCCCCCCTGCCCCCCTCTGGCAGCTAGCAGGGCAATTGGTGGGGAGGAGCTGCGGACTGGGGACCAAGGTGGGGCTTAGGCCCTGCCCTCCTCACCGGGAGGGGCTCCGTATGCATTCCTTGGTGCTCTCTGAGTGCAGCTGACGTCCTGCCCGTTTGGAGCGGACGCGTGTGTACATGTGTGTGCGTGCCTGTCCAATGTATATTGTGTCTTAGCTTCCATTTTAAAAATTGTTCTGTACAGAAAGATGCAGTGGGGGCGGGAGGGCAGAGCGGGTGGAGGGAAGCCATCCTGCTCCCAGCGCTGGGGGTCTGGGGTGGGAGCAAGAGGGCTGTGAAGGGTCTGGCCTGGCCCAGGCTCCCCCTTGGGCTCAGCACGAAAGGGCTTTCAATGAATTAAGTGAAAACTTTTTTTTACAAAAATGCAAAAATCAACAAAGCTCCAAACCTATTGGAAATAAAATATGAACTTACAATGGTAGCTTGTTTACGTGGGGGTGAGGGAGAGGAGGGCCCCAAATAAGGGCCTCTGAACTATCAGAAGAGTCAGCTTGGCCCTCCCAGCCTCGGCTCCAGCCCCACCTAGGCCATGGAAAGCGCTCAGGCCCCCACCCAAGGTGTGGCTAGGCGGCTAAAGCCACCTTCAAGCCCCCAGGTGGCTCCAAGCCCCTAGACACAGCTCAAGTGCCCTCCGACCCAGGCCTGCTGGCTCAGATGAACTGGAGACCTTTAGCCCAGGAGGCCTCCTAGGCGTAGGACTCTTCAGGGATCCAATATCAGCTGGGACTTGTTTACTTGTTTTGCGAAAGACAACAGGTCCCTAGTTGTCGCCCAGAGAAACAGAAAAAGACTGCTTCTCATAAAAGCACTAGAAGGGAGGAGGAGGGTCTCAGCCTTTGAGCCACCGCCTTCCTTTGCTCTAAGCAGGCCTAGCAGGTGGCTGTGAGAAACGCACCTAGTGGTCTCTGTATGGGGCTCAGGTTCAGAGCTGAAAGGAGCCTTGGAGGTGATCTCATCTGACCTCCGACTGCCATCATACTCAGGTTAAGGGACTCAAACAGGGTCACACAGCTAGAATGACAACCTGGCCTTGGGCTCTGACTCCCAATACAGTGGCCACCTCCCCCCCAGGCCAGGCTGGGACCCTGCTCCTCTAAGCCCTTGAATAGCCACTCAGCCTGCACTCCTGGGAGACCCCCCCACTCCCGGTGCTCCCCTTGGAGTGCCAGGCAGCAACCACAAACTGACATGCCTAGTAACGTTTTGTGCGAAGCCCTGCTTGTGCATCAGTTACTCCCACACCTGCTCTAGAACATGAGGGAGTGAGGGGTGGGCCAGGCCCCCCAGGTCAGGGGCAGCTCAGGGTCTCCTTGCCAGAGGCCTGAGGAGGGGGTTTGCATGGCCTGACTATAAACTTCTGGGCCCCAGTGCAGGTCAATGGTATAGTTCCTTAGAGGACAATGAATTGTTTTTGTTTTTTTATTTTTGCTAAGAAAGTTCCTAAGTGGCAGGTACTGTCCCAGGGAGGAGGTGTCCTCAGTAGACACGGCTGGCCAAGCCGTCTTTTCTGCTTCTGCCCCTCCATGCCAGCCCCACTGCCTGCCAGTTTTCACCTCTTCAGAGCCAGAAGCTCCTTGGCTGTAGGCTCCTTAGCCTGGGTACTGGCAGCCACCTCAGGAGAGGAGCCAGGCTCCCTTCCTTATAGCTGCTGCCCTCCCTGCCAGGGCAGCTGTAGCCTCGTCTCTGGCAGGGCCCCCTCCCTCCCCCAGGCTATTGTGCCATAGCCCTAGCCCCAGTGAACCAAGGTAGGGGTGTTAAAGAACAGGCCCACGGGAGCCTAACCTCCACCCCAGTGACTGGAATAGGCATGCCAGAAACAGGTGGCCAAGACGTCTCTGCCCGAGCAGCTTCCCCCAAAGAGGGAAGCGGGGGCGGGAGCCGCAGACAGCTGCCCCCTCCCCCTGGTGCTGAGATTCGGTAGAGAATGCTGAGGCCAGGGCTGAAGGCAGGAAGAAGGGAATATAAATACTAACAGGGTCCTAGCACCAGCACCATGGGCCCCTGCTCTGGCAGGAGGACCAGACGGGATCTTCATGCTGGGCCTTCCACGCGCTGGGGTTCCCCAGGCTTGCCAGGGCCCTTCTGGAGCATTAGGCCAGGCTGGAGGGCTTGCACTATGGTGGGAGAACCCAGACCTTTCAGGAAAGCCCGTCGCTACGGGCGCCCAACCCCATCCCTAACCTCCACTGCTACCGCCCCGGCCTTGGGGCATGCTGGGAGGCCTGCTTGGCTCGCTGCCGCCGCAGCCTCACAAACGCCTGGGCCTCCCGGTCACCCTTCCGGCTCTCCAACAGCTGCAGGATGGGATCCCCTGTGAAGAGAGGCGTTTGGGGGTCAGACTGCGGCGGAGGGGGAGGCGGTGCCTGGGTAGTGGCAGGGGACACTGACCCATTCTCTAGCCATCCTGGAAACTAGTGATGGACACACACCGGCCACGCTCACAAGACAGCCCGACGGATAAGACGAGACCCATCAGCGCCTCTGGCATGACTGCGAGTTGCACCGGAAGAGGCTGAGTGAGATGCGCCTCAGGTTGCAACTATTACCTTTTTATATGAGAACCTAAGACTAGCTAGTTAACCTCTTTGTGCCTCAGTTTACTCATCTGTAAAATAGCTGTAATAGTATCTGACACGTTAGGTGGTTGTAGGATTGGGAGTTAATATGTCTCAAGTGCTTAGGAGTGGCCTGTAAGTGCTCAGACATGTCACCTATTATCCAGCCTGGAGGACACTTGGCCTGTGCCCCCCAGTCGGAGACCCAGCCTCTCTCCCCAGGTAAGCATACTGGTGATCCCCCATCCCCAAAGAGTCACACCACACTTGGCCTAACAGATTTCACTGGTCTCTTGATGAGCCCAAGAGATCTTCTCAGCAGCACAAGCCACCACGCTGACTCCACTGGCTCCCACACCCAAGGAGGGATTCCTCTGGGCCCAGCTCCATCCGCGTCCCCAGGGGCCGCTGCCTGACCTTTACAGGCTGCCCCTCCCCTGCACCCCCAGTGCTGGGCCAGGCCCTGCACCCGAAGCCCCATAGCCTCTGCCCTGGGGCTCCGGCCTACCGTTGAGTGCAGGGTAGGTGAGGGGCAGGCGGGTCTGAGGCACCTCGCCAGGCTCCTCAGGCCCAGTCAGGCCCGGCATGGAGCGTAGTGGCAGAAAGGCCTCCCCTTCCAAGTCGTCAGCCCCCAGCGTGTCGTGGTCCAGCACCGTGAGCAGGAGGCACGCTCCGTCCTTCTGGCACGGCTCAGCAGGCACCAGGCTGAGTGGGGGACAGAGCGGGGCTCAGCTGCCTGCCCCTACATGGTCACTGGCACCCCCCCCACAAGAGGTCATTGCTGGTTCTTGGGGACAGGCCAGGGCTGAGGGCAGACAGGTGGGCATTAGGATGGCAAAGTCAGTTCTCGGCCTGGCGTGTGTCCTGACAGACACCTCCTTTGACTCTGGGCTGGTACTTTAAACCAGGGGCCTGTGTTCCCCAGACCCTCCTGTCTCGGGGAACAGAGGACCTCCCTGGAAGCAAGCCTCTTAAGTCCCAACAGGTGGGGGCCCTCTCCCCCGCAGTCCCATTCCTCGCAGGGTCCCAGCAAACCCCTGTTCCAGGGAGGGGGGGGCCCTGGAACAGGGGCCCCCCCCCTCCCTGGAACCCAAATGCCTTCATCACAGGGGAACTGTGGGAGGAGCAGGTCCGAGGGAAGTCCAGGGCTGGGGAAGGGTGGCGAGTGTAGGAACCCACTCACAATTCAAAGGTTTCATCAAACAGGGGGTGAAGGTCCTTCTTGTGCTTTTGGGTCTCCCGGGGGGCCAGCTCAGGGAACTCGTGCCTGGGCTCCAAGGTCAGCTGGACAAAGGGATCGCTGGAGCCTGGCAAGTGGGGAGGTCACCTGGGGAGGTGACGTTGCCAAGGATATCCCAGCTCCCCGCCTCTAGTTCTCCGCCCCTGCCGCTGTGCTCTGCTCGGCAGCATTGCCCCCTCCTGGCAACAGGAAGGACACGCGCCGAGCGCTCCCTCTCCGGAGAGCAGACCTGCCGAGGATGCGGGCGGGGGGCGTGGGGGTGGGCAGAGTGAGGACGCGGGCAGTGGCCGGCGCGCAGCCTGCACTCACCGTTGGAGTCCAGGGGCAGCAGGCTGGAGGCGCTGAGCAGTTCCACACGTAGCTTCTGCTCAGAGGCGCGGTAGGAAGCCTTGACTGTGACAGCCCCCAGCTCCTCGGAGGCCGTTTCCGCCTAGGGGTGGAGCGCAGGGGCAGAGTGGGGCAGAGTGGAGGCAGAGTGGAGGCAGGGCTCCAGGGGCGCCGGGAGCCACACGGAGGAAAAGAGCCTCACCTGCTGCTGGATGCGGCTGCAGAAGTACTTCTGGATGAGCTCCCGGCTGGAAGTGGCCTGCAGCTCCAGGTCCCTCTGCAGAGCCTGGGACCGAGGCACAGCTGAGAAGTCACCTGAACTGTCACACTCAACCCAGTCCAGTGCCGCCCTTCAGAGGGTTTGGCTCGGCCAATATCGATGTGATAGGAAAGCTCCGGGTGGGCTTCACAGGTGTGCCCCCCACACAGTCGCACAGCTGCCCCCTCCCCGTGCTTAAAGAACCTTCTGCTTGGTTTAATTTTTGAAAAGGGGCCCACATTTTCTTTCGGTGCTGGGCCCTGTAAATTATGCAGCTGGTACTGGACACAGGTGAGCACAGAAAGGCAGGCTCCCCCCCACCCCACCAGCTCACCAGAGACCCCTACCTGGAAGGTGTTGGTGTGCAGGGCTGCAGGTGGCAGGCCGCAGCCCTCTGCGTAGAAGCAGATCTCCAGATTCTAGGGGTGAGACGTCAGGTGGGTGAGACATCAGCCCCCCCCCCCGGGGTTGTTACTTGCTGTCACCGCTATTAGTACCTGCAGGGCAGTCTTCAGCCTGCTAGAGGCCAGGGGGCAGCTCCGCTGGGAGGCAGCCCCCTCCCTCAGCAGGGTGAGCGTGTAGGTCCAGAGCAGGGTCAGGAGGCTGGGGTGAGGTGCAGAGGGATGCCAGTCGCAGGACAGGAGGATGGAAGAGAGGAAGCAGAGACACTCTTGAGAAAGGGACCCAGGCCCACCCCCAGCTCCTCCCCACCCCACCCTCCACTTCCACCTGCTTCTCTGGTAAGGCTGGGACCAGGGCAGCAGGCAGGGGTGGAGGGAGGGAGGGCTGGTCTCCTGAGGGAAGGAGGACAAGTGGGGGCGGGGGGCAGATGTGGCCAGTCCCAACCAATATGTTTCACAACCTAGCAAAGAACCTCCCTCAGTAGGATTATCAAACCCCAACAAACAAGGAGGGGCAGGGAGGCTGGTCCCCCAGTGACAGAATCATTATTCAGTATGGGAGTGGTCAAAATAAATAGGATTTCAACACAGACAAGCATCTACTACCCCTGGGGAGAAAAAAGTGGCAACCAAGCCACGGTCCTAACTACCTGAAATAACTGAAATTTCACATGTCAAAGTAGAGTCAGGCAGTTCAGTACAAAAACAAAACAAAACAAAACTGGGTTGTGTAATTAAGAATGGGGAAGGTTGTATTAAAGGCAGTTAATGGATTCTGCATATTTGAGTGCTTTTTAAAAGGCACCAGACAACGTTCTAACGGCTTTTGAGACTGTAGTGAGTCAAGTCCCTATAATGGAGATTTAACTCCGTTTTAGCTGAACAAATGGCATATTGTGGCCTGAGAAATAACAGCGGTGGGCTCCCCCGGCCCCGCCGCACCACTGGGAGTGGACCTCCGGGGGGAGGGGCAGCAGGCTCAGAGCCCAGTTCCCATGGGGAGGACCCATGGTCATCGTCGTGCAGCTCGTTACCGACCACTTCCTCTGCCCAGGCGCTGCGCTCGGCAACCCAAGTGACTCACTTGATCCTCACTAGAGGCCAGAACTATGATCATCTGCATGGAAAACTTGAGTAATCTGCTCAATCCACCCACCGAGCAGCAGCAAAACTAGAGTCTGAATCCAGGTGGGCCAGAGCCCACGTCCTTGACGTCTAGTCCTGCTGCCTGGTGTGCTGGGCCCCTGCTTTAAGAGAGACCCTAACGAGAAGTCCCCCTGGATCCTGGGAGAGGAACATCAGTTGCCTGTAATGTTAGGAGGGACAGCCCAGGGCTAAGGGAGAAAGGGTAGGCAGCTTTCTGCTCTGCCTAAAGGGAAATGGGCAGGTGTGTGAGGTAGTGAGCTCCCTGTCCCTAGGAGTGAGCATTTAAGCAGAGGCTGGTTGCATCCTCCCCTGAAAATGGCTGAGGCCGGGCAAGGGGGTGGGGGCGCCACAGGGTGGGAGGCTGCTGCACACCTGCTGAAGTTCTCCTGCACCAAGTTGGTATTCAGGTAGCAGAGCTTCACCTCCAGAAACTTCATCAGGGGCAGAATGGCCTGGGAAGAGGGGTGGGTGGCAAGTCTGGCTCTGGCCCATTCCCATGCCCTGACTCGGAAGAGGAAACAGGGCCACGAGCTTTTGCCTGCCTCATTCGGAACGTGTGCCAGAGCTGAGCCCTGCCCGGCCTCCTCCAGAGCCCGTCAGCAGCCGTGCGGGGTCCTGCCGCAGGGCCCTGGCCGTGCCCTCCCCTAGAAATCCTCAAGGCTCCTTCTCTTGCTTCCTTGAGGTCTTGACTCAGCTGTCACCCCCTGAGGAAGGCCTTCTCTAGCCACTGTCTAAAAATATCTTTTAAAAAAACACAAATACGAATATACATATCTTCATTTTCTCTAGTACTTACTAACGCGTCACGTGTGCACACACACACGTTTAATTCTAGTCACAGCTACGGTTCTAGCTCTTCTCCCAACTCCCCTACCAGAATGTGAGCTCCGGGAAGGCAGGGAGTTTTATAAGTTTTGCTCATTGATCCATAACCCCATGCCTAAATCTCTGCCCATGACAGAGCGCTTACATAGTTGCTGAATTACTGAATGACCTTCTCCCAGACAACCAAAGGTATGCATCACTCTTTCTGCCCCCGGACAGGTGAGGACGCTGAAGTCAGCTGGCTTGTAGAAACAGGGAGCTCAGAAGGATGCACACCCAGATCGGTTTGGCTGCAAAGGCTAAGCCCTCCCCCACTGCAGTCCCCACGCGGATGCTGGGAGAGCCCATGGAATGACCCACCCCTTCCCCCTTAGCATCCAAGCAGGAAACCGAGGCCCAGAAGGGAACATTTCCTGCCCAAGTCTGGGGGACTTATCTCTGCCACCCCCCGGCCTTCAGCCCCCTGCCACCCTAAGCCCCTTTGGCAAAGGTGAGCAGGGAGGGCCACTCACATCCTCAGGCAGGACAGACTCCTTGAGGCCCATGAGTTTCTGGATGTGCTTGGCAATGCCCACCTCCAGCTGGAGACACAAAACAGGGTGACGTCACTAGGAGCCTGAGTTTAGGTTCAGCAAGGGGCAGGGGCTGGACATCAGCCCGAGTCCTGCTGGGGGCGCTTCAGGCCAAGGATGGGCAGGGTGGGGTCCCTGAGAATTGGACAAGGTACCTGCTTCGCCAGGGTGCGGACGCCGGTGCGGATCTCATGGCCCAGCCCAGCCAGCGCGCCCTGCAGTTGGGCATGCAGCGTGTTCTGCAGCTGGCCCTGCTCCAGCACGGCCCCTACTCGCTGTTCCAGAGCCTCCCACGCCAGCTGGGTGGGCAGCTTGCCGATCACCAGCCGCAGCTGCTCCATGTCATTCACCACCACGCACAGCTGAGGGCAGGCACGGGCACAGGGATGCAGAGCTGCTGGAGTTTGCCAGGACCGGCAATCCCTACCCCCACCCCCGGCCTGACATCCAGCTCTGGCCCTTACCATGTTGGCTGCCTGGCCCTGGTCCTTCTGGCCTGCAGAGAGCTCCCGGGCCCGGGCCTTTATAAGGCTGCAGTATACCAGAGCCAGGCGACAGGTATCCTGCGGTGGGAGAGGATGATCAGCGAGGGGGGGGCCACTGGGGGGAGGCATGGAAATCTCAGTGACCTGGGGATTTAAGACCTAGGCCTTCGGAGGCTGCTAGGGCAAGAGCTTGGGGGAAACAGGGCAAGTCAAATGAGGCTGTCCTAGAAAGGTGGGGAAGGACACGGGAAGACGCCGCACCTCCACAAACTTGACGGTGATCATGAAGGCCTCCTCTGGGTCGGGCCAGTCCAGCTGCCGGGCAGTATGGCTGATCTGGGCGAAGCAGGTGGACAGATCCACGGCTGATGTGCTGTGCTTGGTCAGTTCACTCAGGGGCACCAGCTGGGGGATGGGGGAGGGTGCGGAAAAGAGGGCTCAGGGCTTGCCAGATTCGTGCCCCTCCCTCCTTCCTTCCTTCCATAGGCATTCAGAGCTTCTACCAGTAGCAAGGGGGGGGGGCAGGGGGCTACAAGGGGTAGGAGCAAGGCTCCACCCAGACCCCCAGGCTGCAAAGATCAGTCTGCGAAGGAAAGCCACACTTAAAACCAAGGATATCAGGAGGCAGCATTGTACATGCAACTGGCCTCAAGAGCTGGTCGCCAACTTCTGCGCATCCTAAAGGCCCAAGCAGAGCCCCTAGCCCCACCCCCAAAGCCGGGTCCCGCCCCGCCGGAGGCCCCGCCCCCACCTCGTCCATCTGCACAGCGCGCTGCACCCGCGCCAGGGCCACGCTGTAAGTCTTCTGCAGCCAGGAGGGGATGGCGGGCTGGAACCAGCGGTGAAAGCCATCCAGGGCCAGGACTCCATCCCTGGGGGGAGCTGGGGCTCAGCCTGGGGAATGCCGGGCTAGCGCAGACCCTCCTTGACCCTCCTCTCTCTCTTGTGCCGACAGCCTGCTGCCCACCTCTCTGTGGGGCCCGGGTCCAGCTGGCAGAGCTGCTTGAGGCTGACATAGAGCTGGAATAGACTCTCGCCCATCTCTGGGGACACGGGGCTGCCCGCCACCGCCGCCGTGTGGTCCTGCACCCGCTTGGCCACCTGCAAAGGGAAGGCATGGGGACAGGGCTCCTGAGCCAGGGTGGAGGGCAAAGCCTGGAGACCCGGGGAGGGGGGGAGGGGGGAACTCACCAGCCACTGCAGCTCCAGGAAAGCCATGGAGAAGAGGTCGATCTTGAGGGTGCTGCAAGGAAGGCCACAGGTGTGACCTGGGAGCGCACCCGGGGCCCTTCTGGTCCCCATTCTGAGCCCCTGCCACGCTACGTCCCCACCCAGCCACCTGCTCACTTCTGGAAGATCTTGTTCCACGTGTGCTGGCACTGGTGTAGGTCACCTATGATGTCCTGTACCAGGCTCAGCAGGGCTCTGCCCGCCTCCAGCATGCCCTGGCAGGGACAGAGGTGCGCTGAGCAGGGCTGCAGGGGGTGAGCAACCCACCCCGCCTCCCCCCCTCCCTGCCCAAGCCCCCTCACCGGCACCATGGGCTGATGGTGCTGTTGCTTCAGGTGGAACCACTGGACCGTGCCAGTCTGCGGGCAAAGAGGCGGTGAGCGGGGAGGGGTGCCAGGCTCAGGCCCAAGCCCTCCTCGTCCCCAGGGTGAGTCCCGTACCCTCAGCGTCTCCGTCACCAGGCGGGGCAGTGGGGTGCTGTCAGGACACAGCTCTCTGAAGGCCTTCATCTTGCACATCTGTACCAGGACCCTGCGGAGACAGACAGCTGGGTCCAGACGCCTCCTGCCCAAGGCCTCCACTCACAGCTGCAGCGGGCTTCGCCGGCAGGGGCCCCAGCTCTTCCTTGTTCCCTTGCCCACTGAGGAAGGGGGAGCGCGAGCCGCTGACCTGAGCAGAGACTGCAGCCGGGCCGGGGAGTCGGGCACAGAGAGGGGGAAAACCGACCGGAACTGGCGGAGGAGCGAGAGGCCGTAGGCCAGCAGCTTGCTGAACGAGGCGGTCAGCTCCTCCAGCTGCAGGGCCGCACAGAGTCGGGGCTGCGTCACGGGCGGCCATGCCGCCTCCCGGAGCCCTGCCTGCCCGACACTCCTCCCTCCACCGCAGCCCACCTGTTCTCCCTTGAGCCGGCCCTGGATCCACTGGTACTCGATGCTGGTGATGGGGTGCAGGAGGCAGCTGCTCGGGAACTCCAGGCTCTGGTAGAGGCGGCTATAAGCCAGCCACTGCCTGCGACACAGGAAGCCCCCAGCGTGCCCTGGGACCTTGCCCCTCCCGCCGCCC